ATAATAGAGATATATTGCTTTATAAGTGGGCAAAATTAAAGAGATGGAAACATAAAGATGAGAAAAGGAATTACTAAAGGAATAAGTAGAGACAGACAGAAAAAAGAAGAGATAGGGACAGAAAGAGAACATGGAAAGAGGAAAGGAAGAGATGGAGACAGAAAGATATCTTGTCTGTTAATCAAACATAATGAGCAATTATGGACAACCATTTTTTTGCCAAAGTAGTGAATATTATAATGCCTCTGAAGTCACATCCAAACTTCCTGTAAATTAAAAAAAAACACAGAAATACAAGCGAACACTAATTTGTGTCCAGGATACTCTAACAAATCCTGTCCCGAAAAGTGCCCCTTCTCCCCTTTTGAGCCACTGAGAACCAAAACGGCCTCTGACCGTTACACTGATGTTGCTGCCTCAACAACTACCACCTAAGCTGCCAAATATTCTTTTGTTTTGGAAAGACTTCCATGTAAACATTTCCTTGTTTAAAGGCACTTTTGCTGCTGTTTGTGTATCTGGAATTTCAGAAAATATACTGTTAAGAACTGTTTCTAAAAAGGTTTTTTCCTACTCAGTGACTGGCTTGAATATTGGAAAATTCTTAATTGACTTGGAAACATTGTTACCTTGCAAGTTTTTAGAAGCTGCCATCTAAATATTTAAAACATTTTTGTTTTTGGAAAACCAAACCATCTTTAAGCTGCTGAAAACACTGCACTTTAAACGCATATTTTCTGGAGAAACAATCACTTAAACTGCTACAAATAACTAAATCCAAACACATTCTGTATAATGACTTATTTTTTTCCTCTGTCAAACACAGCTATCTTGAGCCATTTGATTTTTTCTGCCATCCTGTGCTTGACATCAGTGCTATAGATATGTTGATACATATTGTATAATGTCACAGCTCAATTTTTGTATTTCCCTTTTTATTTGGCTTCCTGCAGCTAAAAGAAGCTTCAGAAGCTTCTTCTTGTTCAAAACTGCAAGAGAGCCACTGGTACAGACATTTGGTGTCTGTGCTTAGCTAAGGAGTCAATGATGTGAATCTGCCATCAGTGGGATTATGACTGAATGCCTCTAAATTAGAATCCCCCCTAAAAGGTAGAAAGACACTACTGTCTTATACCACACATCCTCAACATATTATACCATTTCTACATTCCTAACACTGGTTACCTGCAGCTTGTCATATTGACTTTAAAATGGCTTTTCATGATCAAGGTCGTTTACAGGGCCTATGGCAGATTACAGACTATAAGGGTAAGGAAGTAGCTCTTCATGATGACCCAGAGCTCCTAGACAAATTGAATGAGCTCAATAGTAAATTTTAATTATGCCAAAAGTGCCAAGCTGCAGGCAGAATTGCTCGTCAAAATCTCAGTGTAGAGCTTTGGGTTTTGTTGAGGTTAACCCAGGAAAACAGGTGCTGGAACAAAAAGGCTGTTTAAGATGTTCAGGTAGGGTGGTCATCAGATACAGGGCTGCCCGGAGGATCAAGCAAGTGGGCTGACAGCTGCAGGGCTGCCCGGGTCTTCAGACAGAAAGGCTGCTTGGGGTTTCGAGGAGACAAGAGGACTGATGGCTTAATCAGTGCTTCGGCAGGGATCTGAGCAGAAGGGATGGACACAGAGCTCAACAAATATCAGAGTGCTGATTAAGCCGTGAATCAAACCTTTACGTGTGCTTAATTGGTGAATTTATTAGATGAATTGCCTAATTGGGAACTAATACCTCTGTCAAGGACTGGTTTTTGGTACTGAGTATGCTTCCTTGAAAGGGATCCACCTGTACATCTAAGGAACCCGTAGGGGTTCAGCAAGCCAACAGTAACAGATCACCAAAACACGCACTTCCAAAGTGAATGATATGCAGGCTCAGGACTACAATGTGTGGCTCTGAGGTTGGAATGCATCACAGTCACATAATGGAGAGGGAAGATACCTGGAAGATACCTGGAAGTTTCTTGGCTTTCACAGTCTCCTCTTCAGTGAAATGAGAGGCCAATGTACACCAGATAGTGAAAAAGACTATTTCCTCAGAAAGCTCATAGACTTCTGCGACTCAGGAAGGCAAAGTCCATATTTACAGGGCAACAACTAAGATTGTGTTAACTCTTTTTTTGTTATGGACTAGAAACTTAGCACTTCAAGAGAGCAGAATAGAGTGGTCCACACAGTTTCTAAAATAACCATCTGTTGGTTTCATGTACACAACACTTTTAAATTGGAAAACTGAAGATTGTCAATGACCACTCCCATTCAGCTTAGATGGGATAGACTCTAGAACAGAGTGGTTCCAGCAGAGTACCAATCCTGAGACTGTTCATTGTTTTAACTCAACAGTTTTATAAAAATGTGTTGGTACTTCTGCACTAGGACTTTATATTATTCCGGACAACTAGGGTAGTATTCTATGTAGGGTGGATTTCTATCCATGTTTATGTGGCATTGTATTGCAATTTGTTAATGTTGTGTGTGTGCTTCATTCTCTTTTCCGTTTCTGTCTTTTTGTATCTCAGTTATTTTGAGAGCACCACAAGAAATTCCTAACCAACACCAAATGTGTTGGTTTGCTAAAAAAGTTGACTTGTCTTTATCAGTGCATACCAGGTTTTGGTATTAAGTTGCTTTCAAACAAACAGGCAAGGTGATGTGCATGGTTTCTATTGGTTTACAACCATTCTTTTGTTCATAGTGATACACTCTTGGTTTCATTTCAGAATTTCACAAAATAGGCTACTTACTGTTTTCCTGACTACAAAGATGTCTTTAACAAGTCACAAAAGACACAACATAGGCATACAGTATATATATTATCCATTACCTTATGCAGGTGGCCAATGTTTTTAATTTTTCATA